TCTCTCCTGTATCCTGTGTGAATTGGCAGCTGCTCTAATTTTGTTTGTTGGACTGAACATTGATCCAGGTCAGAAATGTCCAAACAGTTTTCAGAAAAACAAAGCCCTGCAAACCGGCTGGCCGTAGACTCCAACCTCAGAAGTGACGATAATTTACTTTATTTATTTATTTATATATAAATGTAATATATAAATATATATGTGTAAATATATACGTATCTATGTATATGTACATATATTGTATATTTATATATGCATGCATCTATACACTCTATGTATACATATATGTATATATAAATATATAAATGCATATATATTTTTATATATGTGTATTTATACAAGAAATATTTGTTATAGTTGTTATTTCTATGTAGAGAAGTTTGATATTTTTTTGTGTGTATTTTCTGCTGGTTTTATAATAGATAAAAGGTTGTTTTTTTTTTCATCACCCATCCAATATCTTAACATCTGAGAAAATAACTGCTCTTGTTTACAAAAATATTCCATGGCTGCAGCTTTAATCACATGTTTAAAAACCTTTTTTTTTTTTTTTTTGGCGTTACTATACCTAACTGTCCTTTTTAATCTTTGTGACATTTCTCTTTCTACACCTCCACATTGTTTTAGTATCTTTAGCCCCGGCTGGTCATCAGCCTGTGTCCCGTGTCTGGCCTGTTATAAGGGCTGTTAACACCCAGTGTGAAGTGAACGTTGAATCACAGGTGCTACATGCAGTGTTAAAAGCTGGCAAGTGAAGAAAGAAAGATTGAATCTGGGTCACTTTAATGCTCTCGTCCGTCACGCCGCTACATCTTCACAGGCCTGAGACGTAAGGCACATTGTCAAGTATTAATGAAGAAAACGTCCCTGTAGGGCTGGTGTTTGTCAAACCAAATTACATACATTCAGTCGGAAAGGTGAGGATTAATCTTTCAAATCCCTTCTGGATGTGTAGGATGCACCGCACAGTCCCTGGCTGGAAATATCCCCCCTGATGCTGACACGAATTGGCTGAGCAGAAGCAGTGTGCTGTTGTGGTGCACATTCGTTTGGGTTTGAGGCCAGTAAACTATTGAACATGCTGACGTGCATCACGGCGTTCCCTCTGACTGTAGCAGCTGCTACATTTGCACACTTCATGAAAAGAAAGTTAAATGAAATGAAATGATTCAACAGTGGGAACAGTTGATGACCATGTTGGAAACCAAAATATGATGATTGGCTGAGAGGACATCCATTAGAAATGTAGATTAGGATGCAATTCCTTGTTTAGCCAGCAGGAGTTAGTTTGACGGCTATTCATTTAAAATGAAATGAATTTATAGGTCGTATTTTGACAACTGAAAATGGACCTAAGTTGTAATTACGCTAGCTTCTGAGCTAGTAACACTAAGGATGTCTGATATTACGTTTTTGTCGATATCTGATATTGTCCAAACCATTGTTTCCCAAAGAGTCGGTCGCAAGAGGTTTTTTTTAGGTCGTCTCGCATCATATTTCCCTGGAGTTTACGAATAATGTCTATTGACTTGGGTCGCGAAAATTTGTGACTTTTAAAATATGGGTCCCCGAAACGTTTAAAATCCAGTTTGGGAAACACTGGTCCAAACCATTAATTTCTAATTCTAATATCAACCAATACATTCAGACGTTTGGGTTGAGCTGTTTTAGACACATCTCATTGTGTGCAGTGGTGTGACATAATGAATATACTTTGTACAAGAAAAAATAATAGTTCCACTTTCGATTTCACTTTCACTATTTTTAGGTGACCCAGGCATTACGTTATTATCAGAGGAAAAACTCATAACGATTCTTACCAATAATACATCCCTAAGTAATACCTGTGGCATTAGCAGTCGGACGACTATTATACTATGTTATGACAAACCAAGGTGGACACGAACACCTGTGTGTTTCTGCAAAGCACTCAATTCTACAGCTTTCACGTTGAGTGACTGTGTTTCTGCAAAGCACTCAATTCTACAGTTCGTTGAGTGACTATGGTAGTTCAACTGGTTTTGTACTTGTTAAATAACCTTATCAAGCCACTAGGGGGCGTATGTAATCCCACCACCAGGTTATGCCTGGGAAAAATACATTACAAATGGAAGGATGCTAATGCCTGACCTAAAATTAACTATAGACCGAAGGTCAGGGTTCGAGGTCATCGAGGGGCATTTTCTGTAGTTGAAAACCATCGAATTGACCTCAAACAACTTAACCAGCAACTTGGCTGGAGAACTCTATTCCCAGACAATTAAACGTCGTTGCTAATACAGATGCTGCCCCGCTGTGTGAAAAGAAGGGAAATCCACATCCGTCCTTATTTCGGGCAGGGTGGTAGGGATTTTGTCTGCCATGGGAAAGTAGCACTGAAGCTAGAAGCTAAACCCCACCCAGCTCTTCCTCTACTGTCTTGCTGAGATTTAAATAAACCCAAAGATTACTCGATGGCTTTTAAATGCAAATTTTGGTGAATGTGCAAAGCTCCACTTGTAAAACCTGGCCTTATCATTTGCCTCCCAGATTAATGCCCGTCTGAAAGTGGAAGAAGCCTCAAGGCCCCCCAATAAGCTCCAAGCCAGTGGACACTCCTGAGAATGAAGGATGGAGGAGAGGGGAAGGAACACGTCATGGACATATGGACCAAGGTCAGTGGTGACAGCACTTGGAATAGTCCTGACTTGAAAGATTTCGATATTTATTTTTCTCGCTGGGTATTTTTGTGCATCCATCTGTGTGTGTGTTTACGCTAAGCAGGGCTAGGAGCCAGGTTCTTTGACGGATTAGGCAATAATCAATTAACAAATTAAGAAAAAAGCAAGCATAACTGCCTTGTATCCCTTTGTATTATAAAACACTTTGATCCAAAGCTTCAGTTATTTGTCCAGGTTTTTGCACTTTTTAGCGGCTAACAGATGTCAGAAATGGCTCTGAGAGTGCGTTGGCTGTGTGAAAACTCCCAGAGTATTTATGGTTCGGAACATGAAAGGACGCTGGCTTGTGGATGCATTTATTTTTGAATGGCACCCAGTTCATTACTTAATGATTTCAAAAGGCTGTAAAAGGAGCTGAGTCTGAGCCAGCGAACCTGTGACCCTGCTGAGTCAATGTGCTAAACAGACGCAGGCTCCGCTTCAGGCACGTCGACGCTTCTGGCAACGTGGAAATATGACATGTGACTGCAGAACTACGTTAGACCCACACACACAAAAAGAAAACCACATGCAGAACTACGTTAGACCCACACACACACAAAAAAAGAAAACCACACAAACTGCCCTGCACAATGATTAATTGTGTTTAAGGATCTTTAATCAAACAGCTGTTGTGTAGTGAAAGAAGCAACTTTGATCACATCCGTGTTCCTTCAGCTGTGTTTGATAGCATCTGTCCACTCCGAATTCTCTGTTGTGGTTCACAGTAGCAGCTGTTAACGTCGTTATATTTACATTCAAAGTTGAGCTGTATATTACTGCAGTATAGGTGCATATATGCATGTTCGACCTCAGGGATGGATGGTAACTTTAGGGTTTTTATTAGACGGTTGTTTCTGGCGGACATCTTCAGAAGTTAGCGGACTGTGAGCAACTATAGAAGTCAAACAATCCTGTGTTTACTTTGAACTTTTAATTTGATTTATTCATGAAAGTGAAATATAAGCTACACCTGTCTTGGCTGCTGTTAAAAGGAAATGACAGCACTGTTTTCCTTTACGGAATGTGTAGCTAGCGGCTAACTGTTTCACCTCAAATTGTCACAACGGTTTATATTTTGAATCAGCTCTACGTCTTAGTTGTTTTTACAAGTGAAATACAAGTCCTCAACAATTGTGATTTTATAGAATATTTGATAGATAGATAGATGTTTTTTCTTTCCAGTGTCGAAGTCTGGCTTTAAGAAAGTTTGTTTGGTGCAATGTTTTTTAGACTCACACTTATTTTTAAGTGTCTTCACAGCCAGAGTATAAATGGTCTGTTTCTGCTGAAAACAAAGACAAATTTGTTAAAACCCCTAATACACAGGTGCTGTAAATGTTTACCCAAAATACCTCTGGAAAAAAACATCATAATTTAGGTTGTAACAGTTTGAACGTAGGGTCTTAATGCTGTGGGATGTGAGAAATATAACCTTTACAGTTGTCTTAAACATCCCCCCCCCCACCACCCACCGCCCTCCAACGCAACAGATTATTTTTTGTTACAGGGTAGAATCACAGCAGAGTTGGAGCCAACATTTACCAGCCATTATTGAAAACTACAGCTTCGGGCAATTTCTCCTGGCTTCTGTGGTGAGCCGTAATAGTTACTGTTCCTACTCAGTAATATGACTCAGGCACTTGTGCTGCTCAAGGGCACTACCCATAGTGGTTCTTTGGAGGTCTGCTTTGGCCTTGGAGTTTGTTCACCTTCCCTCCACACATTAGCTGGCAGAGGTCTACAAAGTCACCCATTTCACAACACATCAGACCGCCAGGGTCACGGCATTGCCCCCCCCCACCCCTCATACTTCACTCTCTGTGTATGTCCAGTTATGTCACCACATCCTTTGATTTTTCAACCTCGTTTTGGCCAGTGTGTGCATCTGGCACAGCGTGTAGGCACAGCTGCTGTCAACAAGGGTCTGTGCTGTCAGAAACCACCAAACCCAGGTCAAGGTCACGGAGGGAGAACTTGGTGATGGGGGGAGGGGTGGCAGTCTTGACTGATGTCATGGTTGACTGCTTTGTCTTATAACCCCACGCACCTCCATAGTGAACACTCACACACACACACACACACACAATTTCCCTTTCATCCGCTTTTTCTTCACTATGTACCCTTGTCATACAAACCCCC